CGGTGTCTTTGGGGTCACTGTATCGGTGAATCAGCTGGTCAGACTTCTGCTCTATGCTGTGCGCAAACATTCTGTCAGCCCGCCATCCGTAAGCGTTTCTGTTAGTTGTTCAGCTGCTCCCAGGATCTTTCCGAATCTGAATGGAACATATTACTGTAACCCTTCCTTTCACCTTTCTTGCAGTTGACCATGCCCCTACTACTGGCTACCTCGTTGTGCCATGTGGTGGTGACGTGGGAGCAACGCACTCGAGACACTCGGATGTTTGCCTTGGAGCGATTTTGCTTGCGTGGCTCACGACTATCCACAACGGAGACAGAGGGTGGTTACAGTGAAGCTGCTAACGGCCTTCCTACCACTCCCACGAAACGAATTCCCACTACCTCATCTCCTTTTCCCTCGATGTTACCCATTGGTACAGAGCTGACTAGTCACAATCTGTCTGCCTACTGCCTTGTTGATGAGACTGGTTGCGCTGTTGCCCAACGCAAGGCCTTCCATTTGGCTTGTCAATTGTGGGCTGCTGGAGGTATCTCCACGCGGTTGGTGCTGAAGAGAACATCAGTAGGTGCAATTATCGCAGCCACATTCTTGTTCTACCTGGTCCTGATTTGTGAGTCCCTAAGCTAAGCCTTTGTCTCCATTGGATTTAGGCCAAAAGCTCTGTTAGCTTTTATCATGCTTGGTTTTTGAAGTCTTTTCCGTACACTCTTTCATTTTATTCACTTATGAAATCCTCCTTTTTTTTCACAGGATCCCCTGGAAATGGCCTCAGAATTGGGCGCAATCTTTGCTGTACGTATCTGTCTGCTGACTGGCAACAAACTGGGAGCTCTGACCTACAAGACTTGGCACCTCTACGGTGATCGTCCGGGTGGAGAGGCCTCGCAGTTTTCTGAGCCTTCTGCGGTAGTTGCGCAGGTGCGCTACGCGCTTAGTGGCGCTGATAGCTCTGGTTCACATTCCTCCATCGCCCCTTCCTCTGTGTTTCTCGCCTCCGCAAACGCCCCCACAACCACTGGTGTAGGGGATAATTTGGCAGCTGCAGCTTCCTTTTCATCATTTGTCACTACAAGTTCGACTGCCATCAGTTCTTCGGTATCACTTTCTGCCCCCCCAGGGATGTGGATTTCGGACGAAGGGGACGAGCGTCGGGGAAATTGGTTGAGAGATTTGAGGTGAAGTGTCTTCTGGCTCGTTTTTTAGTCGATGTTTTGGCTTTCCCAGTGTTTCTGCTTGTAGTCGTTTTCACTTTGACAGACGTGATGGAATGGGTTGAGGATAAGGAGAAAGGAAAGGGTTAAGGAAGTTGCGATTGTTATACTTTTATTTTCGCTCGTGTTTCAGGCGACATGGACGGCGGTCTAGACGACGATAGAAGGTGGTGCTCTTCTCGTTCTCCTCTCCGCTTCTCAACTCGAATTTTTGTTACAATCCTGGTACATGTAATTTACCCCAACAGGTTTTTCTATCCACCACAGAAACGCTTTTTTAGTGCTCACAGGTGTTTTTTGTCGTTTATTTAGAGATGTGCACAATATTATCATCTATTTAGATAGGCCAATGTCTAGCCAGAATATTAACCTTTAATTTATCATTGAGTAGTTGTTTTCGGATTTCGTCGTGGCCTCATGGATATTCATGGTGCCTAGAGGGCTCTTGCCGAACTGATGTTGTAGTGAGTGAGGAACCATTATTAGGTGAAAGGGAGATTGGAGTGAAGGCCATGGGGTTTGATGAGGAATGAGGTCGATCGCTATAGGTTCGATCAGATGAGGCGTTCTAGCGTTTCGCGTCAATTTTACCCTTGCTGCTACTGTAATACTTTGTTTATATTTGACTGCCTGTATGAGTGACAATCGCTTTGGCAGCCATCATGTTTCTGCCGTGTGGACTGACCTTTTTGCCAGATCATGGCCTCGCATCCAGTCTCCCCGTTTGAATTTGCTTATTCAGTCATACTCATTGCCTTTTACCAAATGGATGAGAGGTCTTGCGACATTGCACTAGTGTCAGGAAGAAGCAAATTTGAATCTGCTGCTACTTCGGTTCTGATGTCCACTGTTTGTGGCAAACCTCGGCTCTGTTATCCTGGGCGGCAGACACTCTAACTCCCCCACAACAGAAGGGTCGGTGGTGATGTTTGCATTTGGCATCTGATGAATTATCCTGTTCCACTGGCAAGGTACTAAGAACTGAAACAACACTACACTGGACCGTATAGGGAAGTTTTCAGTGAGATTGTGTAATATCCTGAGACTTCTCTTCTGATAATGGAGGGCATAGGGCTTGGCTAATTACTTGTCTTCATCTAAAAAGGATAGAGGTAGGGGTCATGGCTGGTCTGAAGGTCAAGCTACGCGCCTGGGGCAAGATGGTCGCTGAAGTTGCCGTCATTCACAAGATAGCCAAATAAGCAGAATACCAATCTAGGGCTCACCTCTCTACCCTTAGACTCCTGAACCTGGGCCTTCAGAAGAGAGTCAGTTGAGGAAGCTTTGCTAGGCGTCATGCACAGAAAGGGAGGAGAATTGATAGGACGGAAAGTTGATTTCAATGTGAGAACACGTTCTCAACT